CGTCTTTTGCAGACCCACATTTTTCTACAAGACCGTAACTGCTGGACCGTTTGAGATGTCTCAAAAATCAAGTATGTAGCAGAGAAAAACACTCATGAGTCTACAGTTCTATTTACGTAGTGCATAGGCCTTCAGCAGTGCTGTGACCATTCAATCGCCGAAGTGATTCAGCGGCGCATCAGATGTTTGTAAAGTGAGCTTCTCAGGAGTGACAGCGCCGCAGCGGTAACATTCAAGCATAAAAGTTAAGACAGAGGGCCAATCAGAAGCTTGTAGGTGGTCTAAACTCAATGAAGCGGGCTTCAGCTTGAGCTGAGGTTTTCCACTTGGTCTTAGTGCCAGACAATTGTCTGTTTACTGTTGCGTAACATTGTTTTATGGCAGTGCAAGGAACATGTCCCCCCCCCCAACCCCGAAATTACGTCTGTGCCTAAAAACTCTACAAAAACTCTGCAGATAGACTGAATGGTACTGTACAGTAGTGCAGATTTTTGCATTTAAAACTATAATTGATGCTACTTTTAAGAGATATTAAACATTTATTTTAGGTCATCCAGAGGTCACCCCAATAAAATCTGAATTGAACCAAAGTGGTCTACTTGTTTAGTGCTTCATTTGGGCGGACTTGTGCTGTAGTTGGTAGGGCGAGTGAGCCATTCAGCCCTTAAACAGCTAATTTGCATCAGTGCAGGGTTGCTGGAATTTGGCAGCGGGTGTAACACCCACCTGATTGCGGGGGAAGCACCTGCATCCAAATGTCCCTTTCAAAAAGTTTTGTTTGACTGTATACATTTTTTTAAGAAAGGGGCATATTTGATTTCATGTCAACCTGCCACAGAGCTACAGCCACCCACATGTGGGAAGAGGCCGTTCTAATCTTGTTTATACCAACCTTCAATCAAGGCGCCTTCCACAACTGTGAGTGTGACTTCTTTCAGAGTGACACTTTATAGTTATGGGTTAGTGGTTATGGGGGAGGTTTGAGATTGGGCTAATGTTCCCTGAAAGCTGTGCGCTTGCACAATTGCACACTGCTCGCGCATTCTCAGCGCACAAGAATCTATACAGTGCTCAAAATAAAATCCAACATATACTTTAAATCAATATTCAATAACATTTTTTTCCTCCGTCTTTTAACTTTTTCCAAATTTCGTTACATAATATAGAGAAATTGAGTAAACTAATGTTTTCTTGCCATAGAGTTATAGTTTTAGGCTTTTGTAGCCTGTGGTCTTTATGACAGCTATCATGAATTACCTCAGCCAGCTGGTTGGTCTGGATGTACAAATCGCCTTTATTTAAATCAACTGTTCTGAAACATTATCTACTTTTCAATCCCGGTTTAATATTAATATCAAATCAGTTTTATAATACAAACTAATACATTTACGAGTAGTATTGGTATGGACATGTTTAATGAAACGGCAGTTTCCTTTGTAAACAGCTTGTGGATATTAGTGCTACATTTCAATCATCCATTGATGATTGTGAAAGAAGATTTAATTTAATCAATAATCGAAAAAGCAGGATAATCATATCAGGTTGGCAGATTCAGACAACCACTCACAGGCTGGCCTCACATTCTGTCAATTTATTAACATTCTAGTGGCATGTTTTGGTTATATCGTATTACTGAATATTAAACAATAAGGTCTTAAACTAATATTGTCAACTTACGGTAATAAAAAATAACACAGGATTTCGCTGACAGAATAAGAGTCAACTATACTAGTGCCCAAAAGGCAAGTGTGTCAAACTATCTCACTCAAGGTGCAATAGAACATACAAGACTGGCCCTAAACTTCCTGGGAACCAACACACAGGCCACTCCCATTAAATTTTAGGTAAAGGTAGTAAATATTTAAGTCAGATTTGTTGCTATTCTAGTGACATTTTTTTTTTTAAATGGATATTAAATGAAAATACTTGTCATAAAATGGGACAGATGGACCCAGTATTGAGGTGAGTCAGACAGTGGGAAGTTTCAAAATGTTTAACAAAAAATAAAAGACAGAAACTGAACACGGGCTGCTGTGGATCAGCAGACATTTGACGCCTTTAGGGGGAGGTCGAGCATTGCTCATCACTGGAACTCTGGTTGTGGGAGAACCATAGGTAATGACCACGATAATCTGAAAGATTAAAAAGCAAAAGTATGTTTTAAATCAAGTGAGGGGGAAAATTACTTAAGTGGCTTAAGGATTAAATGGGGCAACAAGACGACATTCCTTTCCTGAAAATTTTATTAATTTGAAACATCTAAAAGCTCTTCCCTCCACTAACCTTTGTTTTGTTTTTTTCTCCCTGCCCTTTAACGGATAGGGGCCGGTTTGGGATTCAGCCAAAGTCTCCTCGTTATGTAGCCGACAAATGCATCCTTTTTGCCCGTTTTGAAGGACAGGTTCCGGTGAATCCTCCGCAGCATTTGGCATCCCATTATCCATTGCAAGTCCAAGCAAGCCAGCTGCTCTGTGCAAAGAGGAAAAAGGTGCTTCTCAGTAGTGAATAATGAAAATAGTTTTAAATAGTTATTGAGTCAGATATGTGGCAGGTAATGTTTGGTTTATTCAGTTTTTTTCTTTTTATATGTCCCTGTATAAATGGGTTTGGCTGACATTTAATCACAGATTCCAATATCTGCGTTTGTTGGGAACTATAATTCTGACATTCACAACAACAATGTGGGTACCCGATATGTCAGGGTGGTCAGATCTGCTTAGAGTTAGATATACATAAAAGAGTAGACCCTGCGTCGACCTCTTTCTGCCATGGTTTTGAATAGGCCTTTGGCCCATATGCAGAACAAACTCAGGAGAGAGAGAAATGTTTAAGAATATTAAAAAAAAAATAGCAATAACTGGAGGCTGAGCTGAGATCTGGTTCTTCGGCTGTGTAGCAGAGGATGACAAAGTAGTTAAATAGGTGGAATGGGTGAAGGGGAATTTTTGAAAGAGAAGGTTGGCCTACTGATGGAGATGAGTGGAGCTGCCAGGAAGAAGTTGAGTCTGAGGAGATTCACTGGTGAGCCAGTCTCCAAAGGTGGAAGGGTGAGCAGGGTTCGATCAGAGCGTGGGACTCAGTCCATTTCGGTAGCCTGTTCGATAACCAGAACCTAACGCCACCTCAGTGGGAGTTTGGTGTTAGCTGGACCGCTAATGCAGAAACGGGCAACGGGTGCTCCTGACTATGATGAAGACCATAGCCAAAAGAAGCATTGACGGGCTATCTTAGTGTCCGCTGTTGACCATTAAGCAAGCCTGCTGTTACCCAAGCCTAAATATATGCTTCGAAGTGAGAAGAGATTTTGGAATGATGTTGCATAGTGTCACAAGCCTTGATGGGTAGATGGTGCAGGTGTGAACACCAGCCAATCAGGATTGGTGTAATCATAGAAAGGATTTTGAGGAATACGACGTATCCTATAGTGAGATTTTGAAATGAATGCTATAAATGAGAACTGCACAATGAGTCTTATTGCATAATGATCTATGAAACTAGAACATTCATAGTACAGAAAGTAGTTCTTGCAGTAATTCATCTCTGGAGAACCATCTCTTTTTTATTTATTCATATTTGGATCACTTTTCTGCTTTAAAAATAATAATAACCATAATCATTTAAAAGATCCAAGTTTCAAATAGGTTTTGATGACACAGACCCCAACAATGTTGCCTCAGTCTTGGGAAATCAACAATTCACTTCTACTTTCAATTCTTTCTGGCAGGAGATCCCAGCAAATTTTAGTGACTGTCTTCTGGTAAACCTTGAAATTCTTTATTTATGACAGCACTCATTAGCCCTGGTTGTCGGTATGTTTTCTTTTTTTGAGTGCCTGTTAAGAAAACAGCTTCTAATGCTGCATTCCATAAACCCTTAAGAAACAGAAAGCCCAGTGTTTATGAGGGCAGGTGCTCAGACAAACTGATACTGATTGAAACTGAAGTGTCAGTTTTAGAAGTTGTTTGGTTACCATATGTAAACAAAACTATTGTGGCACTTTTACTATTGAGAATTGATTATTATTATAAAAGTAATGTTTATGAATTCATTTGCATTAAAAATAATTTTTAACATATTTAGCAACTTTTCCAATAAATATGTAAATTAAGTAATGATGGTAACAGCAGAGACCTAATCTATATAGAACTTTTAAGTGCAAGTGTAGCTGGGTTGATTATTTTATTTTATTAAACATAGCCAAAGTTTGAAATAAATGCATGTGCTTCTAAAAATTAAAACGTGTGTTTTTTTGTTTGTTTTTTGTTGTCTTTTTTTTATTCTGGGAGAATTTGTTCTTTCCAAACGTAGTTTTCTCTCCAGTCTGTATTTTCAATTTTTTATGTTATTTAAGCAACTTTGTTTTATTCTGTAAAAAAGCATGCCACACAGCTGCTCTGCTGTGGAGGAAATATATTGTGGTGGTTTGCCACCACCTGGTGGTTGCAGAACGTATCAGCACCCATTGCAGTGCAACGTTACAGCGTCAACACTTTGAGTTGTAGGAAATATTTGATTCAGAGAAACAAGTTAATTAGGAAACTTAGTAAAATAAAAAAATAAACTAGACATTGTTTATTTACTGCAAAGGGAATCAGTTTTTCACACCTGGAGATGGCGGTAATGCTCACCTACCGTTTTTTGCCAACCGCCAAAAAAAGAAGAAGAACAAGACGAAGAAGAACAAGAACAAGAAGAAGAAGAAACGTCAACAACAAACGTTTGACGTCATGACGGTAACGTCCCATCCAAATTTGCGCGGGTTAACCGCTTTTACGGTGGGCTGTCATTTTTTTTAGTTCAAGGCTGCAAAAACGTAATCAAAAAGTTAGTGGACCACTACATTTGACACCTTACAATAATTCTTTTACACGTAAGTATGACATTTTGCTGCAATCAGAGCTAGTTTTTATGTAGCAAATGGCCCGTTTAAACACATGTTTTGGTTTTTCTGTCGGTAATTACGTCGTCGGCGTATATAAATCTGTGCGTTTTATTTTTTATTCTCTTAAAGATTTCAGGTTACTTCTTATCCATGGTTTAACACGGAATAATGTCCAAGCGAAAGGCGTTTTTAGAAGCAACCTCAAAGGAAAAGGTGGAGGACTTTCTTCGCTTTATTCAGCTTCACGTAAGTACTTTATACGCTCTATTTGGGCCAGCTAAAAGTTTAGACGAAGCAGTTTGCTTTTTAATGACAAATCTTAATTGTTTGAATTACTTCCCTTCTGTGTTAACAACTTCTGCAGGATCAAAATGGACGCTTGTTTTATTTTGGTGTATGAAATCAGTGAAAGATCTAAGTACAGGTGCTGGTCATAAAATTAGAATATCATGAAAAAGTAGATTGATTTCAGTAATTCCATTTAAAAAGTGAAACTTGTATATTATATTCATACATTACATACAAACTCATATATTTCAGATGTTTATTTTGTTTAATTTTGATGATTACAAATGACAACAAATGAAAATCTCAAATTCATCATATCAGAAAATTAGAATATTACTGAAGACCAATAAAAACAAAGGATTTATAGAAATGTTGGCCAACTGAAAAGTATGAACATGAAAAGTATGAGCATGTACAGCACTCAGTATTTAGTTGGGCCTCCTTTGGCCTGTATTACTGCAGCAATGCGGCGTGGCATGGAGTCGATCAGTCTGTGGCACTGCTCAGGTGTTATGATAGCCCAGGTTGCTCTAATAGTGGCTTTTAGCTCTTCTGAATTGTTGGGTCTGGTGTATTGCATCTTCTTCTTCACAATACCCCATAGATTTTCTATGGGGTTAAGGTCAGGAGAGTTTGCTGGCCAATTAAGAACAGGGATACCATGGTCCTTCAACCAGGTACTGGTAGCTTTGGCACTGTGTGCAGGTGCCTAGTCCTGTTGGAAAATGAAATCTGCATCTCCAAAAAGTTGGTCAGCTGCAGGAAGCATGAAGTGCTCTAAAACTTCCTGGTATGTGGCTGCGTTGACCCTGGACCTCAGAAAACACAATGGACCAACACCAGCAGATGACATGGCACCCCAAACCATCACTGACTGTGGAAACTTTACACTGGACTTCAAGCAACGTGGATGAAGTGCCTCTCTTCTTTTCCTCCAGACTCTGGGACCTTGATTTCCAAAGGAAATGCAAAATTTACTTTCATCAGAGAACATGACTTTGGACCACTCACCAGCAGTCCAGTCCTGTTTCTCTTTAGCCCAGGCAAGACGCTTCTGACGCTGTCTGTGGTTCAAGAGTGGCTTGACACAAGGAATGCGACAGCAGAAACCCATGTCTTTCATACGTCTGTGTGTGGTGGTTCTTGAAGCACTCACTCCAGCTGCAGTCCACTCTTTGTGAATCTCCCCCACATTTTTGAATGGGTTTTGTTTCACAATCCTCTCCAGGGTGCGGTTATCTCTCTTGCTTGTACACTTTTTTCGACCACATCTTTTCCTTCCCTTCGCCTCTCTATTAATGTGCTTGGACACTGAGCTCTGTGAACAGCCAGCCTCTTTAGCGATGACCTTTTGTGTCTTGCCCTCCTTGTGCAAGGTGTCGATGGTCGTCTTTTGGACAACTGTCAAGTCAGCAGTCTTCCCCATGATTGTGTAGCCTATAGAACTAGACTGAAAGACCATTTAAAGGCTTTTGCAGGTGGTTTGAGTTAATTAGCTGATTAGAGTGTGGCACCAGGGGCCATCAATTTTGAACCTTTTCACAATATTCTAATTTTCTGATATGATGAATTTGAGATTTTCATTTGTTGTCATTTGTAATCATCAAAATTAAACAAAATAAACATCTGAAATATATGAGTTTGTATGTAATGTATGAATATAATATACAAGTTTCACTTTTTAAATGGAATTACTGAAATCAATCTACTTTTTCATGATATTCTAATTTTATGACCAGCACCTGTATGTAGATAACAAACCAATCAATATTTTATGTGACGTTTGTTTTGTTTTTTATTTGATTTCAATAAAAGCTTAAAAATCGGTTCCAAAGTTTTGTATTTTCCTTAAGAAATGTTTGACTTTGTAAAATTGCGATCATCCTGGCGTTAGGGACTTCACTAATTAAATAAATAATAGTGGCGGATTTTGAGATTCTTTGGAAAACATTTCTGTTGTATGAAAACATACTGGCTTTTTAGTCATGGTGAAATATAAAAATACTGCTTTGGTGCATACAGAAGAGTATTTGGGACACTGAAAAAATTTTAAAAAAGTTGACTGATTTTTAGATTTTATTTCAGTTTAATATGGGGAAAAAAGTCAGAATTTTGACTTTAATCTCCGAATTCTAACTTTTATCAGAGAATTCTGACTTTTTTTTCTCAGAATTCAGACTTTAATCTCAGAATTGTGGATCTTAATGTAGGTGGGCACCATGAAGGAAGAGAGGTGGGAGCACTCAGCTTCACTGACAAAGATGTGAGCTGTCTGGGAGGGCCAGTAACACATTGGTGGAAAATGGCAGAATTAGGCAACTTTTTACTTGCCAGAGGGGTCCCGGGGATTCTATTTTAATAATGGAAGAGCAGAAGGTGATTAAAACAAGAGAGCTAATCTCTAAAACAGCTATGGCTACGGCTTTATGCTAACATGTTTGTAAGCTGTCAGAAAACAGTCAGAATTCTGAGCTTAAAGTCAGAATTCTGAAATTAAAGTCAGAATTCTGAGATTTTTCCCATATTAAACTGTAGTAAAATTTTTAAATCAGTCAACTTTTTTTTTCTTTTTCAGTGGCCCTAATCCTCTTCCGTTGGTGTAAAAGTGGCTTTGTATAAACAATGGGAAAATCAGGCCATATGCCTGTAAAATGAGCAGTTCTGAATTTAGATTGCATAAAGCCTCAAAAGGACAAATTTAACCACAGTCTATAGTATAATTGTTAAAGATTATTTAAAAAAAATGGTTAAAATCTGAGTGTGAGATTCTAAGGCACGCTTAGATCTGGTTGCTTTTGATTTTAGAGTCAAAAATTGACAATTACAAAAGTAATGAGGAATCCTGAACCTTCATGCTAGCGACTTTCAGAATGTTTTTGCTATAAGAATGGTTAGGGGTTTGTTTGTATTCGCTAAAACTAATATATTAAGAAAGACATTTCCCATTAACTAAAACTAGTGGGAAATGTTAAACCCTGCTTCTGTTTTTTTTTTTTTTTTTTTTTTTTTGGCTGAGTAGAAGGACAAAGCTGAGCCCTTTGATGTTGAGGAGGTGGTTCAGGAGATGCCCAGAGAGCAGAGAGAGGCTCTCTGGAGGCAGCTGGAGTCGCTGCTCCGTGAGATTTTGCTGGAGTTACCTCCAGACCAATGGGAAGAGGAAGAGAGAATGCAGCAGGAATCCGTTCCAGATGCTGTGAGTTTACGGGTCTCTTCATATTCAACCAGTTGACATAAATCAATAGTAACCCCTGGCGTCTAGAATATCACATCGTATTTAGAAGGTGAATGAACGCTGATATGCAGCCTGGTGATTGTTTCAAACTTTTCTTCTTCAGAAACACGTCATGGCGGTGGTGGACGGTGTTGTCCTGGTGGTTGCTGCATCTCTAAGGGTTTTACAGGATGGGGACTCCTATAGCACACTTTTAGATATCGCCCACAGACTTCATGGTGAGATTAATGTTGTTTTGCTTTATTTAAAAAAAAAAAATGGACCCATTCTTATCCGATTTTCACTTCCTGATTACCTACAGTTCTTTCTTAACTGTTTCCTCCCCTCTCTCCCTCACCCACTGATTTTCTGGGTTCACCTGCTTACATATTTATAACTCACCTTCCACTATTTATTTATAGCTTTCTTTATGATTTGATATTAAATAAAAATTTATTTGATATTTCTTAAGAGCCTTTAGAGACAGCCTTTCATTAGATTTCATGTGCATCTGTATAATTGTAGCTGTTTTTGTTTTCCATCAGATGTTTTGATGTCACTTCCTGTGTCAGAGGCGGCGTTGCAGCTCCACATACAGAAGCTGTTTGAAGCCTGGTGGAAGTTGGGACTGCTGGAGAGGGAAAAGTTTGGTCGTGTGGCTTTCCTTTTCTCCCTGCAAAATAGCTTCCTCCTAAAGAAACCGGTCAGTGTGTTCTCCTTGAATGTCCACCGCTTTTTAGCAACAGGAGGGAGCTTGCTCGTGATTCAGGATAAAGTGATGCCGACAGGCAGGAGGAAAAGGAGCCACTAGCATAACCTCTGTAGAAGTTTAGAGATTTAAGACCTGATGGGATCTATCAACACTGTTTTCTTATCTCTGATTTTTACCGTCAGAGTGCTGAGATTGAGAGAGTGTGGAGCCTTCATGATGTTCTTGCCAGTCTGGACTACACATCGGAAGACAACAAGCAGATAGTCGACCTGCTGCTGCAGTGCTTTCACCGTCCCACTCACATTAGAAACGACGACGTGAGTAGAGTCATTCGCTATTGCAGGTGTGACTTCATTCTTAAGCTGTCAGCCTGATGGTGAGTTTGTTGTCACAGGGAAAGCGGTTCCTGGTGTCCCTTTTCAACTGGGATGTTGATTTTATCAGGGTTATCCACGGCACCATTAAAAACCAGTTGGAGTTTTATGACAAGTAAGACGTGCGCTTCATGCTTTGACTCCAGCCAGCATACCAGGGAGTTTAATTTATTTGCTTTTATCATAACACAGGGGTGTAGTTGATCATATTGCAGAAATTTACTTCAGAGCCTGGAAGAAGGCTACTGGGGACTTCCTGGAGACGATTGAGAGCGCATGCATTCAGGATCTGATGCAAAATGCCATTCTTCTTCAAAGAAAATCACCTGTTCACAGCAAAGTTAGACAGGTACTCTTTAGTTTTTTTTGTACCTCCGTCACATTTTGTATTGTTACAACCAAAGACTTTGATTAACAAAAAAATTCAGAAAACATAGTGTCTTTTTTGTTGAACCCCCTTTAATTTCATGCCTATTGATTAACATATAGTGAAACCAGTGGCCCTTAAAATATAACTAGACACATTTTGTCATTTTGTATACACAGTGTATACAAAACAACATTTCATTACATACAGCGACAGTGAATGTGCAGCAGCTTGGCAGTGAAATCAAAATTTCCATTTATAAAGTGCAGCAGTGATCAAAATATAAACAGTGTAGGAGTGACATGGTGCAAAAGGCATTGATGTGGAAGGTTCAGAGCAGTGCAAAAATAAATAAATATATATGGTGCAAAATGCAGTAGAAACATTGAGTTGAATTCTATCTAAAGGGATTTGAAGATTCACCATGTAGTGCAAGTAATATGATATTAGTGTGATGCAGAGTCTTGATGTGTGACGTAATTAGAGTTTTCAACATTCTTATGGCAGTGGGGGAAAGTTGTTACAGAACCTGTTGGTCCTACATCAAATGCTTTGAAGCCTCTTCCCAAAGTGCAGCAGGGAGAACAATTATTTACTAAGATCCTAATGCAAAACACTGCATGTGCTTTAAAAAAAAAAAAAAAAAAAAAACTACTGCCTGAACCTAATACCCCCACTGCAGAACATGGTGTGGAATAATTATGCTATGGGTTCGGCTGGACGATATGGCCAAAACTTATCACAACATATTTCTTAATTTTTGTCAGTAAATTAAAATATGCAATCAATATGAAAGCCTCAGAAAAGGTGCCAAGAAAAACCACAAAATTCCTTTACAAGCCTTTGAATGTTTGCAAAATAATTTAGAATTATCTCTGAAAATAGAGATTAAAGGTGCTCTATTAATTTTGAAAAATCTAGCTCAGAAAAAGCCCTTATTGACACATCAAGCAGAGCTTTACTATGAGCTGTTTTTATAAGATTAACTTTATTGTCCCACGAAGGGAAACTTCCTTTGTGCACAGTTGTATAATCACAACTGAATACATAAAATTACAAATCATAGGATTTAACATAATCAAAAAAGAAATAAAAATCGTAAAAACAAAAAACATCCATATGCATAACATACAAGTGCAATACTAAAAAGGACAAAAGTAGAACTTAGGCGTCAAGATTCTTCCAAAAGTCCTGAAAAGCAAATCACAGCACACCACCTCTCTCTGTCATTGCACTTCACGTTTTCTAGTAAAAATCACATCACACATTTTTTTCCCCAATCTTGAATGCAACATTTTTATATATTTTTTACAATTCTAGTATAGTTTATGCTCTAAGTGGGTTTTTCTGACACCTAAAGACATATTTTACAGTTTCTATACTCCAGTTAATGATTAATCGATTACTAAATTAATTAACGATCATTTCAATAATCGATTAATCCGATGAATTGTTTCAGCCCTAATCCTGACTAGCTTTAAACTGCACAATCAATGCTTTCTACAGGGTCTGCACGCAGCAATCTTTTTCTCTTTCATCAAATTTGAAGACATTTGACTGGTACAGGTCATTCAAAACTGGAGCGTTTGCTTGGGTTATCACTGGCACTCGTTAAATCTTAGCGCACTGAAGCTTAGCATCTGAGCATCACAGCTTTCAGCGGCAGAGCACAGCCTCCTGTCTGTGGGGGAACATCATTGCCCCTTTTGTTCCTTTTGAATAGCCTGTTCTCAGTTGGTGGTAACGCTGTAACCAAAAATAAATAATAAATAATAATAATAAATATATATATATAAAGTGCTGGCCTAGTGGTAAGGGCATAGAGCTTGGAATCCTGAGGATCTTGGTTTGAGCCCCACTCCCACAGACTGCCACTTTGGGTCTCTGAGCAAAAGACCCCTGCTCCCCAAGGGGATGGGTTAAATGCAGAGGTAAACTTCTCCAATGTGAGATCTATAAGGTTCAATTATTTATTTATGTAGCCTGATATTGTGCTATTTTACATTTTCGATGCTGACTTATCTTTTCTCCTTTATTCATCATAGATTTTAAGCTATTTTCACTCCAGGAAAACAAGTCATGGTGTGGACAAGATGCTGTATAACCTCTACAGGCCGATCCTCTGGAAATCCCTGAGTGTATGCACACATAGCTCGTTGAATGAATCATTTAGAGCATGTTTACATGTTCACCTAGCATTAATTGCTGCCTGTGTGATGCCTTTAGGTTCCTAACTTTGAGGTTCGTGCAAACGCCACTTTGCTTTTCTCTGAAGCCTTCCCAGTCCATGACCCAGAAGAAAACTCCAAAACTATGGATCTGAATGTTCAAAAGCAGCTGGACACAATGATGGTGCGTTTTATTTTAAGACACTGCGGTGCCTTCACAGGTTGGATTAGTTTACAAAAATATGGAGTTTGATTTTGTTTTTTTTCTCCTCTCCCTCTATCCTCTTCTCTGAAATGTACATATATCTGTTTGTTTTACATCCATAATTTTCTTTTTCTCCCGTTTTATATTTTCTACAATTTTTTTTTAACGAGAACCATCAAACAATTAAAAAATTGTATGTAAAAGAATATAGAGAAGTATGAATATGGGAAACTCGCATCGTTGATATGAAAAATTTGGAGGAACGAGATTTACAGTCCTGTTTTCTTCATGTTTGGGATCTAATAATTTTGGCTGTGTGCATTGTTTTCACACTCTTAATATCCTCCAATAGGGGCTCTTTGACGACCCTCAACCTACCGTGCGTGCTAACGCCACCCTGGGGGTGTGTAAGATCCTGTCAAAGTTCTGGGAGCTCCTTCCTCCAACAATCATCACAGACTTCCTGAAGAAGCTGCTGATGGAGCTGGCTGCTGACAGCAGCTCTCCTGATGTCCGCTGCTCAGTCTTTATGGTAAAGTCCATGGCCTTAGTTCATTTAGAGTCAATATCAGTTTATATTACTGGAATATCACAGAAATTACAAATTTTAAAAATGTTCTTTTTTAATCTTTCAAAGATATGCATATAATTTATTGGTATAAAAAGTTGGAACGCTTCATTTTTGCTGATGTATCTGTTCTTGTCAACAAGCCGCCATTTAGATCAGGGGTATTAGAAAGTAGATTCAGGGGTAGGCCAAGGACCCCCACACTTATGGCAAGATGGAGCAGGGAGCCCCTAATGATATATATTGTATGAAATTGTGTCATATAAAACTGAACCTATAGTCACTCTATTACATATAGAGTAATGTAACAAAATTAGTTATCTTCCTGGGTTTATTAAAGTATTTCGGATTCCTCATTGATGGGATAGGTGTTGTGAATGAAATGGTCCCCAGCCTGAAAGAGTTCCTGTGTGTTGCTGAATGTGTGCACTGATGACTGAAAGACATCTTCTGCCTCCATTTATCTGTTTACTACAGTGTGTTTTATTCATGTTAATGTATATTTAAAGACATTTCAATTAGTGGAAAAATTTGCAGGGGGGAATGTATAAAAAAAAAAAAGTCTTATCGACCAAAACTTTCGTGAAAACTTTTCGAACCTAGGGGTTGCGGACCCCCCCCCCCCCCCCCCGTTGAAGACCTCAGATTTAGATGCATTAAGAGTCAGAAAGGCTGGAAAGTATTCAAACTGCCCTCGTTTTCTCCGACTTCTTGTTCATTTTAATTCCTGCTGTCACTAATGGTATGATAACTAAAAAACTACATTAAACAGAACAAAACCTATGACTAAACTTTTTTTGTTTGTTTTTTTTGCAGTACAGTGATGTTACAACCATAGAAATTGACAAGATAACAGCTTCTATATAAAACTGATAAGATACACTATATTGCCAAAAGTATTTGCTCACCTGCCTTGACTCACATATGAGCTTAAGTGACATCCCGTTCCTAATCCATAGGGTTCAATATGACGTCGGTCCACCCTTTGCAGCTAGAACAGCTTCAACTCTTCTGGGAAGGCTGTCCACAAGGTTTAGGAGTGTGTTTATGGGAATTTTTGACCATTCTTCCAGAAGCGCATTTGTGAGGTCGCACACTGATGTTGGACGAGAAGGCCTGGCTCTCAGTCTCCGCTCTAATTCATCCCAAAGGTGTTCTATCGGGTTGAGGTCAGGACTCTGTGCAGGCCAGTCAAGTTCATCCACACCAGACTCTGTCATCCATGTCTTTATGGACCTTGCTTTGTGCACTGGTGCACAGTCATGTTGGAAGAGGAAGGGGCCAGCTCCAAACTGTTCCCACAAAGTTGGGAGCATGGAATTGTCCAAAATGTCTTGGTATGCTGAAGCATTCAGAGTTCCTTTCACTGGAACTAAGGGGCCAAGCCCAGCTCCTGAAAAACAACCTCACACCATAATCCCCCCTCCACCAAACTTTACACTTGGCACAATGCAGTCAGACAAGTACCGTTCTCCTGGCAACCGCCAAACCCAGACCCGTCCATCAGATTGCCAGATGGAGAAGCGCGATTCGTCACTCCAGAGAACGCGTCTCCACTGCTCTAGAGTCCAGTGGCGGCGTGCTTTACACCACCGCATCCGACGCTTTGCATTGCACTTGGTGATGTATGGCTTGGATGCAGCTGCTCGACCATGGAAACCCATTCCATGAAGCTCTCTGCGCACTGTTCTTGAGCAAATCTGAAGGCCACATGAAGTTTGGAGGTCTGTAGTGATTGACTCTGCAGAAAGTTGGCGACCTCTTCGCACTATGCGCGTCAGCATCCGCTGACCCCGCTCCGTCAGTTTACGTGGCCTACCTCTTCGTGGCTGAGTTGCTGTCGTTCCCAAACACTTCCATTTTCTTATAATACAGCTGACAGTTGACTGTGGAATATTTAGGAGCGAGGAAATTTCACGACTGGATTTGTTGCACAGGTGGCATCCTATCACAGTTCCACGCTGGAATTCACTGAGCTCCTGAGAGCGACCCATTCTTTCACAAATGTTTGTAAAAACAGTCTGCATGCCTAGGTGCTTGAATTTATACACCTGTGGCCATGGAAGTGATTGGAACACCTGATTCCAATAATTTGGATGGGTGAGCAAATACTTTTGGCAATATAGTGTATTTTTGTTTTAATCAATCATTTGTCCAGACAAATGTACCATTAATGGAAAGTGAATTATATAACAATTGGAAGAAAACAATGACAGTGTCTGTCTTTCCAAGCTCGCTTGATTTTTAGAAAAAGCATTAGTATTAAAAAATATTTTTTATGGAGATGATTTAAAATATTTTGATTTCATTTATTACAATTATTTTAATTATATGCCTCCTTTCACAGATAAAGTCAAAGTAATTCACAAAACCCTTCAAAAAGCAAAGCAAAATAAAAAAAATCATAATCACCTAAAAGCCTGTCTTCATAAATATGTTTTCTGCTGCATTTTGAAATAATCAATTGAATCTCGCACTGCAAAAAAGGACAGCTCCTGATTAGCTGACCTCTTTCTGAATTTGTTCAATAAAACTAATAAAATAGAAGAAGCACTTTTTGTTTATTCATTTTCCTTAAAATTTTTGATCAAAATGGCATTTTACCATATAGTGCCCTTAAACACTATATAGGGCACTATATGGTTGTTACTCCATTTTAGATGAGTGTCCCAATGTACAGTGCATGAAAAAGAAGTGCACTTGAAATATCCCACAATGCACCTTAAAAAATAGTGATCATCCATAGTCACTAAATGAGCAGATATATCCCTTGATGCTTTGCGAGGAGAAATCTTGCAAAGCATCAAGGGATTTCCTGTCACAGTGGCTAATAACAAAAGCGACTAATAAAAATGTGTGACCAACGGTGAGCGAAAAGCAGTGATTATCTGTTCGAACAGTCAGTTAACTGAGTCCATATGTTGAACCAAAAGCTCCTGGTTAGCTGAGCTCTCGCTGAATTTGTTTTAAACCTAATAAAATAGAAGAAGCACTTTTTTTTCATTTTCCTTCTTAAAATTTTTGATCAAAGTGGGATTTTACCATGATCAATTAGGTTTAAGCTTTAAAACCCTAATACCTGTAACAAAACATGTGGCTGCGTTAGGCATGTTATTTTTATTCCTTTGTTTCTATTGTCTTATGGACCCCCCCCCCCCCCCCCCCCCCCCCCCCCCCCCCCTTTAATTTTTATTTCCTGCAGAGCTTGACTATTGTGTTGGACAACCCTTTGAGCCACCCACTGCTAGAAAAACTCCTGCCAACTCTCAAGTACAGCCTCCACGACACGTCAGAGAAAGTCCGTGCAGCTTTCCTTGACCTGCTCATCAAGGTTAAAGCAGTCCGTGCTGCCAAGGTGGGGTTCATTTTAGAGAAAATTTACTTCTTTTGTCGAACAGTCTTTGCAAGGTTTTCCACAGTTGCTTTAAATGTAAACTCACTCCATCTGAATACATTGTTTTCCAAAATGCCACCAAATCTCTAAATGCAGTAAAAAGACGGTTCATATACAGAATTAATTAAATCTCACAGGAAAATATGAAACAATTCACAGTAATATTAAAATCGTGTCCCATAGAAACAATTCCCACACACTTTAGATGCAAATATCATCTAATTTGGAGTATACTTTAGCTATGTGTCAAGGTCCTGACAGCTATGTAGTAAATTATTATTTGTTAGACTGCTTAAAAGGCTAACGATAATTTTTTTTGTTGCTTTTCTTATTTTTTCTTTTTTGTCATTTTGTTTTTAGAAGAATCATATTGTGGAGTGTACTTTTAGTTTAGCCAAGAGCAAGGTGATATGGGGAAGGATTTTTTTGCCGTTTTTAATTATTTTCATATGTATCATCATATGGTTTCAAAATGAGCTGAAAAAATAATTTTAAATGAACAATTATAAATGACAAAAAACATATTTCTGAAACAACTAAATGTTGTGAGCAGTGATGTACTTAGGGAAGTGTTGGCCTATGGGTTAGAGCAGTGCGCTTGTGCACTGAGAAGGTTGCAAGCGGTTCGATCCCAACAGCCTACACTCTGGGTTCCTGAGCAAAGACCCTTAACCCCACAGTTCTGCTCGGGCGCCGCACAATAGCCTCCCCCACTGCTCCCCAAGGGGATAGGTTAAATGCGGAGGTAAATTTTTCCATTGTGAGATCAATAAACTTCTATTATTATTATTATTATTACTACTTCAGTCTCTTGTGGTCAAATGTGGTACTACAACAACAAAGCTTGTATAACATGAAGGCTGGCTAGAAGAAACTGCAGAACAAACATTTCAGATATTTGTTACATGAAGTGAGTAAATTCAGAAGATTTGCTAAATTCATTAAGAAAAATTAAGAAACGTGCTTTAATTAGCGAATTAAAACCTGTTACAGTCCTATCGAAGAAGCAGATGAAGCCTTTTCTCCTAATCCCCCCCCCCCCCCCCCCCCCCCCCCACCTTTCTTCAGTTCTGGGACATCTGCAGTATGGAACACCTGCTAGCCCGTCTCGCCATCGACTCACAGACAGTGTCCAAACGTATCGTCAACCTGCTCTTCAAGTCCTTCTTCCCTGTTGACGAGTCAGAGAAGGAGTGGTGCTGCCGCTGCGTCACCCTCATCCAGATGAACCCCATGGCTGCCAGGAAGTTCTACCAGTTTGCTCACAAACACACGGCCACCACAAACATCGGTAAGGAACAGAAGCGACGAGCAAAGAGAGCTTACATGTTGAAAAGACCATTGAGTGTATGACAGGGTGGTGGTTGTGAAACATTTTTGTTTTTCTATCTTAGTAAAGCTGATGCTGGCTATTCGTCGCACTCTAAACAGCTTCATCCAGGTGGATTTTGACATGACGGAGATTAATGAAAGCAACAAGGAAAACAGCACAGTAAGAGACAGACTTTACAAAATTACAAACATTTGTGAGGATTTTTACCAATTAAAAAAGGGGGTTAACTTATATTTTAAAAGACATCATGATTAGTAAACTAAAAATTTAAGCTGATATTAGTTAGCATGACTTTGGTTCATAAAACAGCAATCTTCCTGTGTGTTATATAGAATGCCACATTTTAGACTCTGAATACATAGTTGGCATATATTCAATCACTATTTTAGTAGTTAATTATTTGAATATTAAATTAACCTGATTTATTTTTGCAGCCCTAGTATATATATATTTTTTTCCCCAGCAGGCTGGGCCTGTGTTGCTGGGACAGGACATGTCTGTTGTGTCCAGTTTACTGGAAGTGGTGGCCATCCTGTGGAGAAGTGTTGAGAAGGCTTTGAAACAAAATGAAGAGGCACACAAATACACAGTGGCAAAATTTGGAAATGTTATGACAAAATACTTCAAAGCTTTTGAGGTAATTTTGCTGCAGCTTATTATGATGTTAGCATTTCTCTAAACCACGGGTGCTCAAGTCCAGTCCTCTAGAGCTACTATCCTGCAACTTTTTAATGCACCCCATTTTTAACACACCTGAATCAAATGAATGGCTCGTTAAATGAGGGGATTGAGCCTTTCTATTCAGGTGTGTTAGAGAAGAGATGCATCTAAAAGTTATAGGATAGTAGCTCTTGAGGACTGGACTTGAGCACCCCTGCTCTAAACGAATCCCACAGAACGTTTTTTTCTTCTTGTTCTTTTAGGATGAGCGCTGCACTGCACCACTCATACAGCTGGCGTCTTTCATGCCCCCTGCTGCAGTTCCAACATTTAGGTGGGCTGTAACGCCAACTGTCACCTTATTTGATCCTCTTTTAAAACAGACCAATTTAGCTTTCTTATCTCTTCCTAGCTGTGGAGTCCTGTCCAGACTGAGGAGAATGAACTCTGGAGCGACTTCAGCTCTGTTCAGCCAGCTGCTGGACTGCGTCTGCAGTTGGGGTCAGGTGGCTGACATCCTAGAGCTGGTGTCTGATTGGCTTAGTGAGTCTGTTCCCAAGCAAACGGTCAGTGGTTTCATTTTGCACTCTAGGGTTCTCATGCTGTATCGAAAATAATGGAAAAAGCTTTTATATGTTTTCTCATCTGGATAGGTATGGAGAAAAGATATCACTGTTTGGGAAAATAATTATTATTATTTTATTTTTTTTTTATTAGCTGGCCTCATTAAAATTCCAGTTATTTTTCTGCTTAATTTAATGCAAGAGGTGCAAATGTGCTGCTAACTTATAAAAGTCAAGTGTTGCCACTGGACTGATTTCTGTGTGGCTGTAGTACAAAAGCGATGCAAATCCAGTCCTCAGTTTAGGGATTCAATAGTTTTATTAATTAATTGATTTATTAATTAATTAAAACTAATCAATTGATTAGTTTTAATCAATCAGTTTTATTTTTAGATTGGGAAACTTTTGGACTGATCAAGATGCCCTTGAATTACAAAATGTTTACAGCATAAATTTTGCAGGTTTTTCATTCGCTTTAATTTTGTAATAAATAGGATTCCCTCTTTCAGGAATGTTCTGGTGGCTGTTGGAATTTGATTTACCGTTTTTTTTTTTTTTTTTTTCCTTTTCTAAACATGATACAATATTCAAGTAAACTGATTTTGTTTTTTGTTTTGGTTTAATTTAATATTATATTGAATATGATTATAATTGCATACCATGGAGAACCTGAAAAATCACAGAAAAAGAAACCCAGCTGTTTCAAATTTAAAATTAGAATCAATCAATTTGAAAAGCATTTTTTAGTTGCAAATTTTAAAATGAGTTATTAAAGAGCAATTTAAATGCTATTTATTAACCCATTGTTAAATATTGGAATTTGGAAAATGTGTTTTCAAATCCTATTTCTGAAAACCATGATTCATATATCTGATTATAAATACCTTTCCTAACAACACATCTAAAAAGGTCATTCCTTTTTCCATTTTCCTTTTCAATTTGTTTTCAAATACTTTTAAAATTGCATTTTGTTTTTGCTTTATCTGCTCTATTTACCTTTTCTGTGCCCTCTTTTGGTCCTTCAGGGCACTGAAAACACAATTAAACCAATCACAGCTGCTCTTTGGATGTAAACAACTTTCTCATTAGACTGCCACAGTTGGATCCTAACCCTGAAATCCCACATACTCCGTCTGCGCTCCGCTCCGCCCCGCTGCGCTCCAGACCGCCTGCACAAAGCAAAGCCTACAGCCGCCGCTGTTGCTCCGTCCCCTCCGCTTTGAGTTCCTTGGAGATCATAGAGGGCATGCGCCAGATGAACCAGGGTTTCCGCGGATCATTAAAAATAATTACAATTCATAATTCTTTTTTTAATCAAGGCCTTAATTGGCACTAAAATTAATTAAATATGTTTTATCGTTGCATTTATGATTCTTTAATAAAAATGCTTCTAAAAACAATTTCGTCAGATATTATCTAAAAAATATCTATAAATATATATAAATATCTAAAAAAAAAAAAAAAATTCACCAACCAGGAAGCAGATTTCTCATCTCCATTAAAATATTTATTTTATACCGAGGGACTTAAAGTTTAATCAAATCCATTCAAAAGAAACTTCTTATTACAGGAATGAAAAGAGATGCTGAGTTGTAGAGAACAAGTTCATTAAAAAAAGCAGTTTTGAATTATCCTTCTCTGTTACAAAAATCTACAAATATATATTTATATATTTGGGCAGAAACTGAACATATGCTGGATGATGGTGGGATTTTTTTAATATGCCATATTAAATTAAGCGCTCACAGGGTTCATACAGGAGTGAGTGACTCTAATTTAATGCTATTTTAATGCTATTAGAAATGATTTAATGCCATCAACCAGAACCATGTAGGCCTACACAAGTTATTAGTGTACATGAAATATGAAGGAGCTGTAAGCAGAGTTCCATGACTCCTGTATGTAAACACACACACACACATATATATACGTATATATATTATCTAGCTTTTTCTCCGCCTCGAGCTTCCTTTCCGAACATACGGCTTTATAAACAGTTCCACGCAAAGTCACCAATCTGTTGCTACTATATTTTAATTTGACGAACCGGAATTTGTCGATGTTCTTTTTCCTGTTTGGTGCGATTGCAATTGCGGATCTTGACTTGGCCGGACCGGAGCGGAGCAAAAAATAGCTCGGCTCCGTAATTTGTCGGTGACGGACGGAGAAGACGTACGTGGACAGAGACGTGCGGAGGAGTAGCGGTGGATGTGGAACAGTTCTCATTGATTTCCATGAAAGACAAGCGCTCCGCACGACGTACGTCAGCGGGGCGGAGCGGAGCAGAGCGCTGACGGAGTATGTGGAATCTGGGGGTAACACTACGAGGAAGAGCTTCTATGACTGGTTAAACTGTGATTCGGGTGTCCTCAAGGACCAGAAGTTTCAGGGAGGTTGTTTTCTGTAAGGATGTCAAATATTAAATCTGGCTTGTATATGCCCTTCTCGTAGCAATAGAGAGACACATTTCCCATTGCTCACTGCTTGGCTTTGATTAAAATGACCTATTAATAGGAGCTTATTACTGATAGTGTCTATCCTAGGCCTACATTTAAAGTTGTAATTATTGACACTGTCCTACCCTCACCATGACATCAATAGACTTCAGTCAGAAATGACATGGTGTAAAATGTGCCTTTCAGAGGGACACCTGCTTCAAATAGCTTTAATATCTACATCCTGGACTATTTATAAGTTGGATCATTTCTGAATTTAAATATGTAAATAAAATATTTGAGTGGACCAAGCTAAAATGGTGATATACAGTGCATCCTTAATGTTTGCCACTTGATGGCCCCAGTGAGCATTTGAAGTTTATATAAGGCTTTGAGAAATCAACCATGTTGAAACGCATTTGCTGAAGAGTTTCAGAGCCTCAACAAAGATCCTGCTCTTTATCACTGGACTTATTCATGTATTGTATGAGATGTCTAAAAATGGCACTGCACATTCAGCAGCTTGTTACTGTGGCCCTGTGCAATAACCTGTTATTTATATTTAATACCCTATGCAATAGATATATATTTAAATACCCTTCTATATTAACACCCATTTAATAACCTGTAAAATAATCCTGCTAAATGAGAGACTTCAGCTGTTATATATGTATATGAGGATGCACTGTATACACCCCGATGCACCTTTTCCTCCTTTTGGCACCTTCTTCTTTTTGACTCTAAAGCTGATGTAACGATTAAATTTCTCCACTGTGAGTTCAATAAAGTCATTCAATCAATCAATCGTAAATAAATGCAGGCTTGGATTCAATCCAAATCCAACACTTATGCCACTTTGGGTTTTTTTTGTATTAGCTTCATATCAATATAGCCTATTATTAACAAATTCAGCTGTAGGAGTGGATAAATGCTGCCACATGTAGTTTTTGAATTTCTGATAACTGTTCTCAAGTCTGATGTTAATCAAGGTGTGGGGATCTTGTTAAACATCCATTTGTTTTGCCTCCATGAACTTTTATCTTGACTGTTTGGTCCATGTGCATACAATTTGAATGCCCCGTATTAAAGTGTTGAATTTTTCTGTAATAAATGTGTAGGATCCTTGTAAAAAGCCCCTCTTTCCAACACTAGGAAAAAGCCACTAAGAGTAGGAAGGTGCAAATCCAGGAGACGCTGGAGGCCAAACCAGATCTGGCTCTGGTGTATCTGGAATACCTTTTCAGCCACACTTCCACACGAGAGAAAGTCCTGGCTCTCGGTGAGGGCCCTCTGAGGCAGCTTCATACAGTTTTGGGGAACTGGAAGGTAAATAACTCATAAGTCTCATAATTGTTAAACATAAAGGTTGAAATTTATTAGCCTTTATGTGTTTGGCTAACAGGGTCTTCTAAAGGAACGCCTTGTTAGAAACATGCTCTCTGCCTCTCTTTATTGTTGACAGTCGGTGCTCTACACTTACCTCAGCTCATCTACAGAGGATCCAAACAGTCCCACTGTGCAGACGGCGCTGAAAGCCTTTATATACCATGGTCGTCTCAGTGTTCACCTCCAGCATAGCGTGAGTCTCTCTCCCATCTGATTAGTATGAAATTACAGGTTTTACTCCACTTGACTGTTTCGTACAAGTCTCAGTAGCAAAAGGGCTCCTCTTAAAACTTAGCTGTAACTTACTGAAAGAAACCTGTCTGGGTCTTTCAGGAATAAACTAAACTATAAACAGACCTTTGCATTTTGGAAGCATCTTTTTCTGTAAAGGAAGAATCCTGCATTCAGAATTGTATGTATTTAAAAAAAAAAAAAAAAACAAAGCAAAAAAATGTCTTACAGTTTTTAACTGATTAATGCTTCGCTTTACTAAATTCAGAAAACCTGTAGGTGAACATGGATATTTATTTACATTAGTGCCTAGCCTTCTATAATGATATTTTAATTGTTACTGTAAAACCCCAAATTGGTAAGGTATAAATAGCTTAATAATACTGCATTTTAAAGCTCCTTTTTCTTATAAAAATCCAATAAAAACAATCTGATTTTACTTTAGTTTGACTCTTTCTTAACAAACTAATGTCTGCACTGCTATGGAGCTAAGCTTACAAAAATATTATGCAGTGACTAGCCTTTCTGGGTGGGTTCTCAGGTTGCAAATACAATTAAATATGGTGGATCCAGCATCCTGTATTTTTTTTTCCCCAGATGCTGCAGTTTGCTGCTCCCTTATTTGCTCCCTATGTGAAGTTTATGTAGCCAAAAGTTTTTGCAAGCAGTGGGACAGAAACAGGTGTGCTAACGTCACCTCTATGACTGGAATGCTATCTGACACATGCATACATGCATGCATGTGTCACATAGCATTACATCGATGCTTTTGAATAAACATTTAGAAATAAAATATCATTTAATAGTCTGAAATTGTGAGTCTGAAGTCCTTCCAATGCAAGTCTAAGCAAGTATGAAGTCACTACTTATCAGACATGGGTAATGTGGAGTCAACAAGTCATCTCCATGTCATGTATTTAATCTACCCAGCCAATTAACCAGGTGAGTCCAATCTGCACAGGTTAATTCACGGTGAAGATTGGACTCACCTGCTTAAGTGGCTGGGTAGAACAAATACATGACATGGAGATGACTTGTTGACTCCACATTGCCCACGTCTGCTACTTATGCAACTTAAGTGCAACAGGAGTCCCAAACTCGAGTTCTCATCCTTGCCTGCAGTTTGATGTGTAGAAACCGTCTGAGTCACCCTCAGCCTAAGACTTTTTATTGTGCAAATCATTGAAATATATGATTTATGGTTTTAATCAACTGAAAAGATCTGTAGTTTATTAGTAAGTGATAGTTCTGCTGAGAAGTTTACATTTACTCATCACTGGGATACATGTTACATAAATTTGAGCTTTTAATGACATATTTGAAAATTCATTTTTAGGCTAATGAAACATTAAGTTTAGTCATATCTCAAAAACCGTAAAGTGTCAAATTAGATTTTTAATCTCCTATCTTCTTCCAGACTTGAGCAGAGTGGTGAGAATCAAAGGAACTCATTGCAGAATACATTGCTGTTTAAAGTCACATTTTCTGCATTTGTACTGTTATAGAAATGGCTCTAAAAGAAATAATTTACAACTAAATCTGGTATTATTCTCCTAAGATGTGTATTAATTCCTTTAACCTTGCTGCTCCGCGTATTTGTCATTGCTTTGGACGCTGTTGAGTATTTTTAAATGATTTCAAATCAAACTCATCTGAGCTGAAGTTCTCCAATTTTTCCATTTTGATCTGGAAGTGCAGACAATGTCTGGCCTTAACTGTAAATCTGACCAGTTTTAGAAAAGCCTGCTCTGTTTTATCTTCACAAGAAGCTTAAATAAAACTGTCATGTTTTTTTGTTTCCCAGTCGGCAGAAGGTCGGGACTACCTGATCTCCCTGGAGAAAATGGCAGTGTGGATCTCAGACAGGGTTCTGCCCTTCCTTACCAAACATAGGAGTGATGACGGCAAGGATTCGGGGAAGTCTCAGCAGCTCGCCTCAAAGATAACAGAGGTTAGCTTTCGTTTCGTCTACTTTTTCACATGCAGCCCCAGCACTACAGCTTAGTTATGTTGGATTCAGTTTTCATTAGGGCTCAGTAGTCAGAGTGATGCTCATTAAGCTCATAGTGAGCCTTTTACCTGAGAAATAATACTATTTTCTTCCTTTTTCATTTCAGAAACTGAATTTCTGCTCGTATGATTGATGACTAAATAATCTGTTCTCATATTCTCGGACAAATAAGCCTGTTATTTCTCAAAGTAGGACCAATTAGTTTTTGCTGTATTACATTTGAAGGTTGTACAAATATCCAACAGGATAATAGTTTTTCTTTTTGTCTTGTGGAAGAGGAAAACAAGAAACGGTCCTGTGTCTGAAGTGTGGAGCTAATTTCTGTCCTCCTTTATGCTGTATGAGAATCAAACCTACCAGTTTACAGGCTTTTTATGCAGTCCTAAATGTTATTTATAGTATATCCTGATCCAGAGGTTATGAAAAAATACACTGTGAAGAAAAAAATGTGTATTTCATTATTGAGAATTCCCTTGTGCTCTAAATATACCTCCATCTGTCCATTTGCTCATCCCTTAGATTTTCCATTAATTCATACATCCGCCATGTTTATTGGATCCATTGGATTTCCATTCAACTATTGGTCCATACATTCTGATGTTTTAGTTGTATTTTATAAAATTGGCTCCGAAACTGACTGAGAATTTTGGATGTTTGTGTCTGGAAAAGTTGCATTTTCTGAGATGAAAAATGTGTTAAACTGCCATCTTAAATTTTTATCCCAGTCATTTTCACAGCAGCTCATACCCCAGCTCAGAATGAATTCTATCTTGTTATCCTGCATGTTTGGTTCTGAGGAGCTTATTTTTCACCCCCATCAGTGACTTAAAGTGCTGCTCAGTAAACTTTGAATCTACATAGATTTTTTATTTTTTAGTCTACTCCAGTCCATGCTTCCTGTTACTCTCCTGAAATTAGGTGTTTCCACACCCCACCGATGAATTCAAACCGTTTCTTTAGATTGTTAAGTAACTGGATACGTTTCCTTGATGCACTTCAACAGAGCTTCCTGACATTGTGCCGTGACATTTTTCTGGTTGGTTTGGGAGATGAGATATTCAAAGGCGAGATCCTCCACATGTGCTCACTCATCCTCAACTCAGGTGAGCGCCTCTGCTGAGATTAAAATGACAAATTTCACTCCGCTAAAACGGATGCAAACAAGCATATTTCACTGAGGCTTGGCTCTCCTGCTTTTACGACTTAAGTATCATATGGTGAAGTAACAGCAGTGTTTGTGTTTCCAGAGTCAGGCTACAGGTGTATTCCTGCAATTCTGCCAATTTTAAAGGAGGTGGCAAACTGCTTTGTGCCCTGTGATAACATTCGGGACCAGAACAGTCATGATGAGTCCAACTTGGTCATGTTGGGTGTGGTGGCCAACCTTTTCCATAAGATCATAGCGTTGCTGACAAGTTCCCTGAAGAAAGACCCAGAAGAAGGACAACTTGTAAGGATTTTTTTTTAACTATTCAAAATGTAATGGTTTGTTTGTCATTTTCCTTTTATTTGGCCTTGATTTATCATTTCAATGGTTTGCAAAAGTATTAAATAGAAAAAGAAACATAGGAAATGTTCCTTCATGTTGTTTCTTTCTGTTAATGAAAATCCATCATAGTTGGAGATGGCAATGAAAAATGGTTACTACTTTCTAATTTCTCTCTGCTTTATAACTTTGTGTCTGATTCAGCTGTGTCAGTCAGCCGTTCCCAGTCTGACGGACTTCTTCCAGGTGGCCCAGACCTGGCAGCCAGCACTTCTTAGCGAGGTTTACTCCACTGTGTTTGCTGCCATCATTGTGGAGAACATACGTATTCTTCAGAAGGTAAGAGATGGCACAGGATGGAGCCACTAAAAGGTTGTATTGCTTAATTGTATGTTGAGTTAACCTTAGTCTATTTATTGATTTTGTTTGTTTGCTTTTTTTTTTTTAAGCTTGCTCTTCCTGAAGAGGTTTTCGTTCCTCAGTCAGTGGATGAAATGCCTCCTTTGTCCAACTTACTGCTATCCGTCATCATCATATCACCCTCTATCACAAGGTAAACAAACTGAGTATCTTTTAAATGTAGGATATTTTAGATTCGATTGTTAATTCATCCTGTCTTTAGCTCGTTTTTGGCAGAGGTCTCTTCGTCTCTGGACTCGGATGCCCTCAGCAGTTTCACCGAACTGGTAGCAGTTCTGCACGTCTTGGCCGTCATTAAACAAAGTACGTTATTTTTATCTATTTATTTTTTAATACCCAGAGCAATCATATCAATATCTGCAGTGACTGAATATCCTTTTGATGTGTTGTTCATTAGAGGGGCATAACAAAGGTGCCTTAAAGAGCGCTGCTATATCTATCCAGCGGCGTCTTCACGAACATGCAGTCTCTTCTTTGGACAGCAGAGAACTCCATCGGTGAGTTTCAGGGAATGATATGTTTTAAGTTTATTCTGTCAGGACATATTTCTAGATTTTATAGTGCTATGTAAAAGTATTTGGGTCTTTCAAGCATCATGCTAGACTACAACCTAAACGAATGTTGATAGGAATGTATGCGAAAGAGCAATACAGTAGAGTGCATAAGATGGAAGAGAAAAGAGGTTAAGTTTTAAAATGTATTTGTTTTTTGTTGTTTTTAAAAATTACAATTCCAAAACGGGCATTAATTTAGCCACCTGTGCTTTGGTACCATGAAACGTTATCCAGTCAAACTCTTCAGAAGTTCTGCAATGATTTAACAGATTCATCCTGTGTCTGGTGTATTTATAGTACATCCAGCTGTTCTCTGATTATCTTGGATGTCTTTTCGAGAATGATAGTGCACAGAAAAAAACATCGAGGAACACCGCAGATATTTTAGGGATAAGGTGGAGTAGAGGATTTAGGCAACGTTTGGTTACCTTTAACTCTGTCTTTTAAGAGGAAATGAGAAATGAGATCTGATTCTCAGTTTTAGCCACATCTGTGACAGAACCTGAGTATATGAAGATGCTCCTGTCAGTTGAGACCAAAATGGACATTTTTGGACTATACTAAAGATGTTGGCAGAAAACTGAAATGGTACATCACCCTCAGAACTCCATTGCTACTCTTAAACACGGTGGTGGGAGCCTCATGCTGTGGCTTTTTCTTATTTTTAGCAGGACCAGAAAAGCTGATCAGTTTTAATGAAAAGATTAATTGATCAGGAATATAAAGGTAGACAGAGCAACGGTATGGAAGTTTTTGATTAAGGCATGACTGTGTAAAAATGTCCTAGTTAAAGTAAATGCCTAAAACTGATTGAGAATCTGCGACAAGACTGAACGATTGGTGTCCAATTGAATTGAGCTGTTTGTATTAGCGATTTGCCAGTAGTTCATGAGGCGTCATGAACTACTGGCAAACTATGGATACCGTGTCACGGAATACTGACACCTGTTGGACATTTAAAATTACTACAGGCAGCCTCTTAGACAGACTAAAGGCTGATTTATACTTCGAAATTAGGTCCTCTGCATAGGTGTCGCAGTGAACAAAAAGACGTCCCCGCCCCCTCCGCAGACACTCTGCTGTACCTCTCCCAAATTGTAGCTGAACGCAGAAAGGAGGCCGGCCCGTTTTGTTTTTATAACCGAAATTGCGGAAAACAACTCGTTAAGTTTGACCAGCTAGAAGATCGAGGTGCACGAGAATGCTGAGACTCTTTTTCCACCTGGATCCCCACTATTTTTCGCCTTCATGTCCCTCCTTTGTCGGAAAAACTCGCCCCTACTTCCTCACCGCCTCGGCCGTAACTATGATCGCTGAGGCTAGGCGTATATATAAGCCTAGCCTCAGCGTGTATGTATATATATATATATATATATATATATATATATATATATATATATATATAGAACTGAAGAAATGTTCATCTGTAAGAAAGATAAAATTCCGTTGGATTCCTGTTCTGTTGATGGATTTTTTTTTTTTACAGTTGTTGGACGATAACCTTTGTCTCTCTTTCCTTCAGGTGCATGTATGAATCCTCAGTGAAGACCTTGAATGACCTTCTGCATTTCTAATCCCCAGTAAATTAAACATGATGGGTTTGTGTTGAGTGTTTTTTTATGCATTGTAATCTCCATATTCATACTGTATAAACACAAAGCCTTTACATTAAAAAAAAGATGCTGAAACAAACAGGTCATTGAATTGTACTGACTGATTCTTCTCACTTGCAGTATTAAGTTTAGATTGCATCCAATTTATTGGTTTTAATAGGGGCAATACATGTGGAGTCATCAGCCATCATAACCATGGTGTCTGAACCATGTATGGGTCTGCAATAGCGACTAAAAAACGGAGAGGAGGAAGGAACTCAGCCCACAGCCTTGAGGCACACCAGGGTCAAGGGTCACTGGGGTAGCAGTGATGGTCTGAGTAAGGTGTGGTCTGTTGGTAACAAGGTCCAGTCATCAGTTGCTGATGCCCAATTGTATACATTTGCTGATCAACTTGGAAGTTATGCCTGTATCAAATGTTGAACTGAAGTCAGTAAAAGGATGACTTCATGACAACCATGAAGGGAGTAATTGCTATTATTTTATATATTTGAATTAGGACAATGCACATTTATCAACATGTCAGCTTAAAGCATCAATGTAAATCTGCCAGAATTGGTTCAACAGCTAACAGCATCCAGTTTCCTAAGGCAGGTGAGAACAGTGAACATTAAACAAGACACTACAGGAGTGGACACAAACAGATAAGATGCCAAAGACAAAATCACTATAAATTAGAATTACGGGCTCAAAGGAAAGAGCAATTCACTTGTGAAAACATCTGGTTAGTTTCAACCAATGTCTCAGGGAGATTTTAAAACTTATGTAGGTTGCAGAGACCCTAAGATGAGCTGGCAGTGTGTTCCATGAATGCCCCTCTGATGGACACAACCATCTGGTCAAATTTGGTGCTACGCTGCTGAACATTACAGTCTCCTGTGGTTATAGCCCTGGTGTTTATTCTAGTAATTATTTATTTTTTTTTTTGCTTATAAAATCAGTAAGAGTAGTTGGAGCAAGTCAATTTAAAACTTTAAAAACAAGCCACGCATCCAAAAATATCTGATGTTCAAAGTCTAAAATGTACTTATTTAAAACGTTACAATAATGATAACATAAAGGCTGTGTCCGAACATCCGCCCTCACCCATAAATCCCTCAATTACTATTTAGAGCGGGGAATATATAGTGGACTTTATAGTTAACTCGGTTAAATGACCATTCGGACAGATAATCTCTACTTTTCACTCCCTTTTGGTAATGTAACTCTTTGCAAAGCATTCTGGGATTTATCTGCTCGTGTAGTGACCATTGATGATCGTTACTTTTCAAGGTGCGTTATGGGATATTTGGAGTCCCCTACCTTTTCATCCACTAGACCAGGAATGGGTGCCAGAAAGGGCCGTGTGGCTGCAGGTTTTCTTTGCAACCAAGCAATTGCACACCAGACTCCATCTCATTAAGGGAGTCCAATCTGAACATGATGACTTGATGAGATGAACGGGGTCTGGTGTGCTATTTTTTGTTTGGAAAGAAAACCTACAGCCACGCGGCCCTTTCTGGAATCAGTTTAACAATCAGTTACTCATCTAAAATGTTGTAACTACTATATAGTGCCCTACATAGTGATTAGCGTGGATGTTCGGACAAAGCCAAAGGCTTTTTGTCAATAATTTTCAGTTTTCTTCAAGAGAGACTAGAGGTTTCCGAATGGCCTCTGAAGATCCCATGTCAGACCATGTGGTATTGCAGTAGTTTATATGGCATGCCTATAGGTTTATTTGCTAATTCAATAGCCAGATTAAATAGCCGGCTTAAACTAGGGGTGGGTATTGTCAAAGAAGTCATGATTCGATTCGAATCACCATTCACATGCCACGATGCATCACGATACTTGAAATATTGCATCGTGATGCGTTGCGATATTTTCACTGAACACTGTAAGAAAAGGATACAGCAATTACCAGTGGCTGACTGGCTGTGTATGATCTGGATAGTGTCTTCAACTGATACATAACTGAAATCAACTGAATTCATACATAGCTGTATTTATTGAAATGACTTTTGGAGGTGTTGCCATTAAAACAAATACTGGACAGAAATATTACTATTACTGGTGTGGACACACTGACAAAAAGATCTTAGGATTCATAAAACTTAAAATAAAGTAAGGATAATCAGTGCCGTTTACATGGCCTCAGTGGTCATTTAAACCAATGAAATGAAAACATTCAAATGTATGACATTTCCCCTTTTGCAAATTACATGCGTCATATCAATTTCGTTTTTACCTTCTTTGTTTTTAAAGCCTAAATGCATCCAAGCATCTTAGTTTAAATGTGATGGAGCCGGGCAAATTTTCTCAGTGTCCTCCATGTTTTGTTTACGAATGACTTGTCACAGTATCCCGCGGCTGGAAATGCTTGTGACACAAAGCAGCGGGCGTCAACAAATACGAAGCTACATCTGCTGGACGGGAAGTTGTATTCCACTTGGTTTGGCTGATGTGCGCCAACCATTCATGTATTTATTTTATTCATTTTTTAAAATTAAGAATCGATACTTGGCGTCAAGAATCGATGCAGTAGATCACAAAAATTAGAATCGCGATGCATCGTCATGACGATTATTTTGCACACCCCTAGTTTAAACTTTATGTTTAATGTTTACTAGAGGCCACTTGTTTGAATGTTGAGGGTTTGGATGGTGGCACAATAGGTCGCATTGCAGCATGGAACAGGGACAGGTTGAATTGCCATTAGAACCCTTAGGTTTGTGGACCTTTATTCTGCTCAGCACAGCTGAAATCTTAATGGCTGGTGTACAAATTCCTTTGGGCAAGTAATATCTAGAAACTTGCCCAGGACGCTAGGCCCTAACTGAAAGAATCTATCTATAGATGGTGTTCATCATGTCCAACATCACACAGTAAATGAAAAAAAAGGGTTAAAGACCCTTTTATATTTTAAAATTACACAACTATTATTTCTTCATTGAATGGTAACATACAGTATGATCAAAAGTATTACATGTATTTACATGTCAGTAAATCTAGGTGTTGCAATCACTTTTATGAACAGGTTTATGAAATGAGCAGCTGAGCATGCAAATGGGACACTCCTGGGGTCTGAGTGAGTTACATCATTGTACCAGGATAACGATGCCACCTGTGCAATTACTCTGGCTGTGAAATATCCTCTGCTTGGTATTCCATTGTTAACCGATGGAAGTTGTAAAAACAAAAGCCCAGCAAAAATGTGCTAAGCCACATTTCTGAGACCTTATCTCATCAAGCCTTCAGATTCACAAGGTTAAACAGTTGAAGCTAAATTAACAAATATAACAGCAAGAAGGTTCCTTGTTCGATTCCTGGCCCGGGGTCTTTCTGCATGGAGTTTGCATGTTCTCCCTGAACTTGCACGGGTTCTCTCCAGGTACTCAGGCTTCCTTTCACAGCCCAATAAAATGACTGCTAGGTCCAATGGCTTCTCTAGATTTTTCCTTAGGTTTGTGGCTGGCAACCTGTCCAGGGTGTACCCGCCTCTCGCCCATAGACTGCTGGAGATAGACACCAGCCCCACCTTGACCCTGACAAGGACTAAGTGGGAGAAGATGGATGGATGGATGGAATCTTGAGTAAATCTGACCTGTAATTCATTGGACAAGATAATATTATGCTGTGGGGCTCACTGTTGCATTGCAGCAAGAAGGTTGCAGGTTCGATTCCCGGCCTGGGGTCTTTCTGCATGGAGTTTGCATGTTCTCCCTGAGAATGCGTGGGTTCTCTCTGGGTACTCCGGCTTCCTCCGACAGTCCAAAAACATGACTGTTAATCGTTTTCTCTAAATTCTCCTTAGGTGTGAGTGTGTGCATGAATGGTTGTTTGTCCTGTTTGTCTGTGTTTTACCCCGCGATGGACTGGCGACCTGTCCAGGCTGCACCCCGCCTCTTGCCTGAAGACAGCTGGAGATGGGCACCAGCCCCCTTTTGATAACGCATGTCAGAAAAAAGTGATAATTTGTGGAAATAGTTTGGGAAATACTGTAAGCAAGGCCTATCATAACATGAATGAATCTTTATTTTTGTTGAAACAGAAAAGTGAAACAGAAAAGTTGTGTAATATAAAGATCATATCGGATTGCAACTGGAACATCACTTTCGTCTGTATCTATAAGAAGGCAAATGAGCCTTTCTTTCTATAGATGGATTTTAAGCAGCATATTCCACCATCAGTCATATAGAATATGTCTGCGTTCACCGGGTTATAGTGGTGCATGTATAGTTTCTCCTGCCATCAGTCTCCTTTCCTCAGCATGTGTGCTGCTTGACGTCAGGGCCTTAGGAGGGGCTTCGCCGTCAAGCTGGTCGCTGTTCGTGGTGCTGAAACAACGACTGGCTTCTGTGGTGCCCAAATGCTCTGTACCACTTTTCTCTGTCTCTCCTTCCTCCGTTACTTTAATCTCCTGGCTCGAGCAGCCGACCTCTCTGAGGCTGAGGCTGAAAACATGCCGTTTTAGCGAAGGTGTGCGGAATGGATTAGTGCTGACGGCAGGAGCGGTATGGATTCTCCGTGGCGTCCCGTCCTCATCGCTGCGCTGGCGGTCTGCTTTTGCTCCTCACCTGCCGCCTCTGACAGAAAATTCGGTAAGAATCTGGATTCTATCTTATTCCGCAGTCGGTAACAAATGATATTGTTTACCTTTAGTGGGATCGTCTCCGCCAAACGCTTAAAGAACATTTAGTATCTTGGCAAAACTTCGGGGACAATCTCAGCCTGCAAACACAAAGATATAGCAGTTTGTGAACAGATGCAGGAGACTGGATGAAATCCGGACATCCATCATTAGGAAAAGTTACGTAATCTTTCAGGCCTAATGGACAAAACGTTTCCTGTGGGACTTCTTCTCTACTTTCTGCTCCATGTGTCTGCACTGAACATATGGCCCCCAAAGTATGTCTATAATAGAATCTTTATTTATAGAGTGCTTTTTACTCACAAGGAGGGCAACCCAAATGGATTTAGGCCTACATGAGATAAAATAACTTAAAACATGGTGGTAACAGAAATGTGTGATCAATTGAGTGGATTTTGGTATGTAGAAGTTATTAAATGTAGTGTTTGGTTTCGCTACTTTATTATCATGTATACAGTCACGTCAGAATGAATTTCAAGTATTTATATTTTCTAATTTTATGTATTTTAGTTAAGCTAAGGGGCTGCTCAGTGGGGCAGTGGATAGTACTGCCGTCTTGCAGCAAGAAGGTTCCTGCTTCGATTTTCTGCATGGAGTTTGTATGGTTTCCCTTTGCATGTGCGGGTTCTACTTTGGCTTCCTTCCACAGTCCAAAAACATGACTGTTAATTGGTTTCTCTAAATTCTCCTTCGGTGTGAGTGTGTGCCTAAATGGTTGTTTGTCCTGTTTCTCTCTATGTTGCCCAGCGATAGACTGCCGACCTGTCCAGGGTGTACCCCGCCTTTTGCCCGTAGAAAGCTAGAGATAGGCACCAGCCACCCCCCGTGACCCCGCTTGGGATAAGCGTGACAAAAGATGGAAGGATGGATGGTTAAGCTTACAAAAACCCCAAATTTAGCCTCTCACACAATTTGAGTATCTCATTAAACCAAATTCAAAATGCATTCTTTTTTTCTTTTTTTTCTTATTTTTTTTAACAGTATTATGGTACAACATATATAATCAAGTCACTGTAAAGGAGCTAGCACTTTACAGGCTGTATACAAATAAATATAAAGTTTGGTGGTGGCAGGATGAATGTGGGGGAAATGGGAATAACTGCTGCCTTGTTTGACTGTGGGGTATTCAGAATTTCCATGTTAGTATTTTCTTAGGGTCTTTATCAACTGCTTTATATTTTTTGATGTTTATTTTTTTGTTTGTTGGATTAACCTAGCCCTATCTTCTGTCCCCTTCCTTCCTTTCCTTCTTCCTTCCTTCCTTCCTTCCTTGAGCCGTTTTTCCTTCCATATTTTTGTTCTCTTTTTTCATCTGTCCATGCTTTCTTTTATTTCTTTTCTCTTTTCTCATCTCTCCATCCTTTCTTTTATTTCTCATCTCTTTCTTTAGTGTGTTATCCTTTTAATCCATCCATCCTTTAATGCTGGATAGATGGCTAAAAAAGTATCACAGTTTTATATAAAACTGTAAAGTATCATAATTTTTTTTAAAGTTGTCACCGAATCACATAAAGCATACATAAAAGTCTCTAGTGATTCTGAAATAGATATTTATTTATACATGTTGAAAATTATTATTTTTTTAATATTTATAAAGGTTGAACCCTAAATAGAGGGTAGAGTTCTTATAGGTATAAAAACCTGCATCTTGATAGATTATTTAATATTGAGGTCATAGCGTCTTTTATATTCGGATGAATTTTATTTATTACATTTATTTATTCTTCTAGAAAGGCCTCAAATATAAGAGAAAAACCTGATTAGGTATGTATGTTATACCGCGTAGTAGAGCATCTGTTGTGATAACTGAGTTTCCCCAGATTTTCTCACGTCTTTTCACAGCAACTGTTACATTTTCTGCTACCAGAACACATGACAGCATAACTGGATCATAAACAGGAGGCAAATATAGGTTTCCGGTCGGCACCCGGTTCTGGGATGATTCATACAGACACCAAACAAACTGCACCATTGTCTGTATATTTAGAGCAGGGGAGTGTCAAATTTATCCTTTATTAAATCAGGCATTGTGCTTCTTATTTTATCTTTCATATAATCGCATGTGGGTTTAAACATGTTTTAATGTTTTTTTTTCTTGCTTTCAAGTTTTGGAAGTTATAGACTGTTGATAATGATTTAGAGCATTTTTTACAGCTGAGTAATTTAAAGTGATTTCTCACACTGTGTTTCTGAAACAATAAGCTCCTGATTGCCGGCATTGTGAAGCCCGGGAGATGCATTTTCTCTTAAATAAAGCCCTGTAATTTCATGGATCTAGAGCTCTGATTTACTATAACTTAGTGTGATTATTTAGATGATGCTATAAATAGTTGGATGCATACTTATGTAGTTTGTGTGGCAGGTAGACAGAGAAGGTGTGGAGTACGTGGGAGTCCAGAATGTCTGAGAACAGATGAAAGCAACAGAGGAGACAGGGGCCTAAAGCATACGTATTTGCGCAGATTGGTAGTTCCGGTAACAGCCACAGACTTCATGTGTTATAGAACCTAGTCTGATTTAAAAAAAAACAAAAAAACAACAACATTCCATCTATGGGTAAATTATTCCTAAAATAAATCCAGCTGTTCCTTAAAAGGCTCAGGTGTGATAGAGAACTTTGGTGAACAAAGAGCATCATGGAGACTAAGGAACACAGCTGGCACATCAGGGAGAAAGGGGTATCAAAGTATTCAAGCCAACACCTGAAAAAGGAAAGACTGGCAAAACTTCAAATCTAATTAGACTTTAATTTTTACTGGCAGTAGAATGACCAATTATAGTGTATAATTATAATAGTAGTTCTTTTTACTGGCAGGGTTTTATCTAAAGACCTGTACATACACTAGAAAAACAGTGACATGTCTTTTGCTTGAGTATGCAAGAACAGTTAAAGTTCTGATGAGATAATGTTTTATGTCGCGCAAAACGTAATTGCAGACCTTCTAGTAAGTCATCATAGGTCCCCTCTACAATAGCCTTAATTATAATGCTCACATAAATTTAAGGTTACCACAGTATTTGTCAAACACCACACAAGAAAAAAATAATCACTTCAGACAATATTTCAAGAACAAGCTGCAATAACAGACTGACATTTTGTTATTGCAGCCTTAGAAGGGAGGGCACATTTCTGTTCTTTGAAAGTCTTACTACTTAACCAGTATTTTAGCCAAAGTGACCAATTTGTATTTGTTTGCTCTTTTAACAATATAGACTGGGTAAAAACACTGCCAAATTAGATTAGTTGGTTTAACTAAAAGATTGGTTGAACACACACCTTCCAACCAAATTAAAACCAAAAACTGTAATACGTTTTTTTTATTTCTCAACAAAAATTACTAACACTTTTCCTTTTCCTCATCATTGCCTAATTTCCAAATACACGTTCACTGTCTGCTTGAGCTTATTTCACTAAAATGACAGTACACCTTAAAAAATTATTCTTTTCCAAGACATGTTACTCACAAAAAACTTACAAAGGATTTTATTATTCACACTAATCATTAACACTTTAAAGAAAACCTAAATGGAGAAGAAAAACCATTGCAAAAAAAAAAAATCACAATTATGTTACAAACTGTAGTTACACACTCCACCAGTAGGTGGTGACATGTTCACATGAAGCTTCATGAACTGTGGGGATCGTTGAATCAATTTGCCCTAATGGTTCAATGCCTCATAAAGCTTCATCTCCCCATCACTACGTGTAGTCTTAGGTTTTTTGACAAAATTCCTCGGTAGTTATAGTTACAATGTGGTAGCATCATAAGACAAAGTTATACTCAACACAAAACAAACATATTCATTCTATTTAAAAGTAAAAAAACATTTAAAAGAGAATATATTTGTGTGTTTAAGCACATCAGTTTGACTAGCTACTTATTATTTTAAGGATTTAAATACTTTCTGCTGCTGAAATGCCCAAAATTAATATATTTAGCAAAAAAAAAAAACAACAAAACATTTTTTTAACTTGGAGCTCCAAGCTAATGGCGCAGAGGAAATGGACATTTAATAGGGTGATTATCTCCCCCTCTTCATCATCCTCAATTGATGCAGTTCTGCCTCTTTCGGTTTCTGTCTCACTGACTCCTACTTGTTAGACAAACACTCAGTGTTCGCAAACCAAAATGAGTAAAACCGCCTATAACTACCTCTGAAACTATACTCTAAAGGTCACAGACTTAATCGAACCATTGCTACCTGTCAGGTTGGGTGACTGAAGCTGAAGGTGGTTTCTTGCAGATTTAAATTAAAAGGTGACAACAGAAGCAAAAATCCCAAAACCAAGCAGATTGGGACCAGGTGTGGACAGATGCGTCTAGAAGGGAGGTAGGGAAAAGGAGACTGACACTAGAGGGCAATAGAGGGCAAACAAGAAATACCTAAGAACTCAAATACAATCAAAAATCACTAGAACAACACAAAATCGAAATAAAGACAATAAAAAAACTCAAACCCACAACACTGCCTTAATGATAGCAAAAGTCAACCTAGTAAAACAATGTTAATAGATCCACACACAGATATCACATGAGAACAACAATTTAGCATGATCATAAGCTTATATGCTGCTCTTCTGCTTCTGGTACTGTGAAAGCTACTGATGTTGCACAGTATGCTACCTTCACAACATAACAGTATAAATCATAAAATGCTCAAATGAGAGATTGCCTCATTTGGGGACAGATCGTCTAAAATAAGGACTGTCCCCGTAAATCGGGACATGCGGTCACCATATTCTTATGGTTTTTAGCCAAGAGGTACCAGACATCCTGTGATAAAGGGGAACATATAACCTGACCTGGTGAACATATAGCGTGCCAACAGATAATAAACAAAAAGGTAAGCTTTGCTAAAGAACACACCTGCTGTTGAGTCATAAATCACTGCAATTTCAAAAGTAACACACACAACTAATGAACTAATGCTAGAGCAACCAACCAAACT